GGAACTGCTGATAGTGGCCCCTCTGAGTTCCACTTTGGATTACTTCTAAAACTGCAGGCTTGCAATACAGATAAACACTTAAGCGTATTATCTAAATGGTGCTGGCTTGACTGAAGAATCATCATAAAGAAAGGAATACATGTTTACATTCCTTCATAACTCCACACAAAAGCAACATCACATGTGAGGTAAACTTCAAGTCAAAATACAAACTTTAAACAATCAGGTGTGGTGGCACACACCTTTTAATCCCAGCACCTGGGAGGCAGAGGCAGGTGGAATTCTGAGTTCAAGGGTCTATATAGCGATCTTTAGGACAGCCAGGACTACATAGAGAGACCCAGTCTCAAGTAAACACAAAAAACAAAAATTTCAAAAATTCAAATTTTTATAGATTCATGTATGAGTATGAATATTTTTCTGCTTAAATGTATGTGTGCTACATGTGCCCATGGAGGTCAGAAGGAGGCATTAGATGTTCTGAAACTGGACTTAGAGATGGTTGTTAGCCATCATGGTCATATGGTGCTAAGAACCAAACCTGGGTCCACTGTAAGAGCAATAAGTGCTCTTAACCACTAAGCCTTCTCTCCAGTTCCTAAACTTTTTCAAAGTAATACTGAAAGAGGCAGTCTATGGGGCTCACTTGTTAAAAACAGTTGTTGTTTGCTGGGGGATGTCTTTCTGTATGCTGTGAATATGTGTTGCTCTGATTGGTTGATATATAAAGCTGTTTGGCCAATGGTGAGGCAGAATAAGGTTAGGGGGTACATTCCAACTGGAGAGAGAGGAAGAGCTTGAAAGGAGAAGTAGGAGAGAGAGGCTGAGAGCCGCCACCAGGAAAAGCAAGATGTCAAAGTATAGGTTAAACCACAAAGCCACCTGGCAACTTATAGATAAACAGAAATGGGTTAAGCTAGCTAGGGAGAAGCTTGAGCCATAGGCCATCCAGTTGGTAAATAATATAAACCTCTGTATGTTTACTTGGGACTAAGTAGCTTCGGGACTCAAGTGGGAAAGATTTGTCCTGACTAGGGAAAACTTCTGACTACAGTTGTTCTTGAAGAAGACCCAAGTTCAGTGTCCAGGACTCATACTGGGCATCTCACTATAACCTGTTACCCCTAAAACATCTGATGCCCTCTTCTGGCTTCTGTGAGTGAATTCTCATTCATATTCATTCTCTCTCTCTCTCTCTCTCTCTCTCTCTCTCTCTCCCCCTCCCCCCTCCTTCCCTCCCTCCCATCAAACTGAAAAACAAAAACCAAACTCATGTTTTAAGTATTTCACAATTCTGTATGAAATGTATTCACAGCTAACTGGGGCACATGTGGCCCATGGGTTGCAGGTTAAACATGCCTACAACATCACCTTACATTTTCTCACCTGTCTTCCATAGAATCTTCTCTTCTATATGGTGAGTTCCTGATTGTGATTTCCATTCGGTGATCTCTCAGCTCCCCCTCCTCAAGGGAATCCCTTTTGGAATCCCGGTCATCAGACTAAGACGCAAAGAAAAATGAAACATTGTCATTTTCCTTATAGATAACTTTTCTAATATTTGAAAAATATCTTGCTATGTAGCTCAGGCTGGCTTTGAACTCAAAACCTTCTGCCTCAGCTCCCAAATGCTGTGGTTACCTCACCTTACTAAATATATTCTTTTTTTTTTTTAAGACAGGGTCTCACTATATAGCACTGGCCTTTTGAGTTCCTGAGGCTTGGGATTAAAACTGAAGTTTGCTGAGTAAATTTAAATATACGCTTTGAATGGAGACATTACAAAATGCAAGATAACTTTTGTTCAAATTTCATGTAATTTACATCACTTTTTCTTTTTGTAACCCAAAACCCAAGAATAGAAAGTTAAAAATACTATGTACGATAAGGGACATGAGACTGTGCAAAGAATGTTGGGTTTTTTTATGAACCAGAGTTTTTTTTATGAGCCTAAGTTGGACTTTACACATCAAATACATTATACAAGATTTATATATACATTTCAAAATGATCTCTTTCTAATTTTATCAAAAGAAGTACTTATGTCCAATCACCAAAACCCTGACTATGTTATCATTCAAACCAAGGAAGTTACAAAGCACTCATTTTAATTGCAAGGCAAATTCCCACTATATTAAAAATACTTGGAAATGGCATTATGAATACACTACTATGAAATGAGAAAAAATAGTCTGGTTGCAATAATGATTCCAGGTTCAGACCATTTTATTTTTTTTATTTTTTTATTTTTTATTTTATTTGTTTTTGTTTTTCAAGACAGGGTTTCTCTGTGTAGCTTTGCGCCTTTCCTGGAACTCACTTGGTAGCCCAGGCTGGCCTCGAACTCACAGAGATCCGCCTGCCTCTGCCTCCCGAGTGCTGGGATTAAAGGCGTGCGCCACCACCGCCCGGCCAGACCATTTTATTTTTAAAGGAGATATTCTCATTTAGACACAGCTTCAGGGGTTGGAGAGATGGCTCAGTGAATAAGAGTACTGGCTGCTCTTCCAGAGGGCCCAGGTTCGATTCCCAGCACCCACATGGCAGCTCACACCTGCCTGTTACTCCAGTTCCAGGGGATCTCACACCCTCACACAGACATACATGCAGTCAAAACATTAAAAAAACAAAACAAAACAAAACAAAAAAACAAAAAACAAAACCCCGGAAAACTCTAGATACAGCTTCAGTGTGTTATCAATCTACCTTCAATGTCAACAGAGTATATGAATGTTTTTGTTAATTTTAGAATAGATTTTGGGCTCACCTGTGACATTTGGAAGTACAAAAGAACTTCACCGAAGAAGCGTTGTTCTAATGGAAAAATGAGGGCAAAGAAATTAAATCTCCTTTAAGAAAACCACTTACTTAAAAAACATAGCTTACATTTTTTAAGCGTTTTATCTCTGCTTTCTCCTCTTGTTCTTTCCTTCGTTTCTTTTCCTGGAGAATTTCATCTAACGTTTTCACTTTCCAAGAGTCCTTTTCATCACCCATTTGAGTTAAAACACTGCAAAAAGAAAAATAATTCAAGCCACCTCGGGACACAGAAAACTATGGTCTGTTGCTCTCTCTTTTCTGAACACTGAAGTCTAATCATTAGTGTTTCAGAATAAGTCCCGGAAGTCCAGGGAAGTGGGAAGGATTCGGCCTTAACATAATTTTTCTGTCATTCCTGTACGGTTTTGGGCAACTCAGTTTACCTCGGTTCACTTTTCCGTAAAACGCAATCATCATCATCATCCACGTAATGGTACTGTTCTAGGATGAAAGACCATCCAGGTCAAAGCTCTTATTCAGTGCCTCGCACTCAACAAACTCTGCCTTAGGTGTCAAAGGGTTGTATGAGAAAGCTCCGGGATGCGGGGAGGCCTGGGTGACAGGTAAGACCAAGGTGCACTGTCAAACACTGGACCCCAGGATGGGGTCACGCAAACCTGAGGCAGGGGCTGGCTCCGGGGAGCGCCAGGGTCTGCCGCCTCCACTGCCCTTAGTTTTGTGTGGAGCAAGGCGGTGCGCGGCAGCAATGTGTCCCTAGCCCCAATTATTCAGGCCAAACAGTCACCCTACATCTGACCTCCCGCCACCACTCACCCCTGCGCCGCCGCCGCCGCCGCCACCGTCGGTCCTGGAGTCTGAGAAGAAACAGCGCCCGGCGCGCGGCAGGATCGTCGCCACTTCCTTTGTGGACGCGTGTTGATTACGTCGGGATGACGCGGGGCGGGCCCGTGTGGCCTCCATTTTATTCCTCCCACATCCCCCATAGTACCCTGCGCACGCCGGAAGTGTCCCTACTCCCTGAGTTGGTTCCTGCTAATGACGCGCGACTGAGAGACTGAGGGCAAACTGGCCTCCGGCACGGCCCTGGGTGTCTCTAGTAGATGACGTGGTTCGACACGACCCGCCCAGGCGTCGTTTCTGGATTTGGACAGGGATGAGCCGCCGATGGGAAACCCTGGGCCTCGGCTGCCTTTGCGTGCCGCGTTGGCGGGCAGGACTGACTACCGTCAGGCACTCGGTGCAGCATCGGCAACAGGCTAAACAGCCTTTCCGCTCGCGACATGCTACTCGAGCTTCCACAACTAGACATTTGTTTCTACCTGCCAAACTTCTCAGAGGCCTTTGGTTTGGGCCAAGCTGTGCTAAGCCCCCAAAGTGGAGTCTCATTAGAGGGTCATACCGTCAGATGGAACCCTTTTGATCTACCTGACTCAGGAAGCCGAATTCCCAGATAGGCTAGTTACATCTGTCATGATGAGGAAGCCCCCTGTTCAAGAAAATACCATGGAAACGAATCCAGCTTCCTCAGCCATTTTGTCTTTAAAACCAACCTCTTCTGCGTGGCCTATTGAAGTGATTGGGTGTTCTGTTGTGACTGTTTTGCTGAGACCAAGTTCCATATGTAGACCTAGCCTCGAACTGAGAGATCCTCCTGTGTGTACCACCATCTTCTGTGTTCTTTTGTTTTCTCTTCATTCTAATTGGAGAATCACAAAGCTAATTAAGATCTCCAAATTGTAATTTTGCCTTGACACGCTGAAACAGGGCAGGCAGAGGTTTACAGTGAGATTTTAAAGTGGACTTTATGGCAGTACTTCTCAAAGTTGTTTACTTAAACCAACTGGATATCTTGAAGGGTCCTACAATTCCACTAAAAGCCTGTCAGAGCTTATGAAAGGAAGAGCAGAAATAAAAATTCCTTCAGCATGTCTTTGTCAGGTTATCCTGTGGGATTTGGGAAAAAAAGCAAATTCAGGTGGTGGTGGTGGTGGTGCTCACCTTTAGTTCTAGCACTCTGAAAGCAGCCAAGCAAATCTGTGAGTTCAAGGCCAGCCTTGTCTTCGATGTGAGTTCCAGGATAGCCAGGGCTACACAGAGAAACCTTATCTCGAAACACACACACACACACACACACACACACACACACACACACACACACACACACACACACACACACACACACACACCCCGCAAAAAAAAAGTTACACAAAGAAAACAAGTACATATTTCACATTTATTTTACAAGAACTATTAGTGGCTTGGATAAAAGGAATGAGGAGGCTTTCCCAATATCAATTTATTACATGACTCACTGAATTATTTAACAGAATTCTAGAAGGCATTAATATAATCACTGAAATACTGAAATAGGTGAAATACAAAACATTTTATACATTTTATGATGCATTTTAGTTCCCTCATTGTTTGGTGCAAAACAAATATGACTTGGCTTTGATGTAGACAATTACCAAGATAGTATCAAGTTTTTTTTGATGTGGGACTTACCATCTTAAACTGTGGTCTTTTCCAAAGTGTCAACACTGCTTGAACAAATAGAGATTCACAACAATCTCCAAATCCAGACATTATAAATGAATTTAATGCATTTTGAGTCCCAGAAATGAAATCTAAAGACAAAGCAAAGAGATAATCACACACACACACACACACACACACACACACACACACAGACACACAGACACACACACACACACACACACAATTTGCCAACTGGATTGGTTTCAAACTAAACTTGGACATGGATCCAACACCCACCTAACTCAGAATCAGAGCCCCCAAGAAAACTGGAAAACATACTTAGGAGAAACTGAAGTTAAAACCTACTATACTCTGAATTGTAGATGGTACTGTTTGTCCATAATTAGCATGACCCTTAAGGTTCTGCTGTAATTCATGCAGACAGCCAAGACATTTATCAACTAAGAAAACAGACTGGGAGTATAGCTCAGAAAAGAGCAACAGCATTTCCAGCATTCCTGAAGCCCTGAGTTCTAGCCCTAACCAAAAGAAAAAAGAAAAAAAAAAAAAAAAAAAAGCGGGAGATGAAGAGGCCCTCATAGGTAGGCCTTATATTTCTGTGTTGAGAGAAAAAACAGCAGTTTCTCAGGGGCAAGAGAACTGAAAAAACTGGGGGTAGTGACACATGCTTGTAATGTCAGTGCTAGAAGGCTCAAGTAGAAGGATGTAGAGTTCAAGGACTAAAAGGACAATATGGCTTATGAAGGGAAACTCAACTCAGAACTGGCATGGTTTCCCATCTCTAGTAACATCTGTTTACTCTTCTCCAATGTTAGGAAATGCTTGCAGGTTCTAGACTTCACTCGGAGATGTGCATTTACTGTCTCCACTGAGCAAGGTGGTGTCTAGAGAGCAGGGTCACAGAGGAGCCAGGTGGTGTCTAGAGAGCCGGGTCACAGGGGAGCAGAGTGGTGTATAGAGAGCCGGGTCACAGAGGAGCAAGGTGGTGGTGTACAGAGCAGGGTCACAGAGGAGCAAGGTGGTGTCTAGAGAGCAGGGTCACAGGGGAGCAGAGTGGTGTATAGAGAGCTGGGTCACAGAGGAGCAAGGTGGTGTCTAGAGAGCAGGGTCACAGAGGAGCAAGGTGGTGTCTAGAGAGCAGGTCACAGAGGAGCCAGGTGGTGGTGTCTAGAGAGCAAAGTCACAGGGGAGCAAGAGGGTGTCTAGAGAGCAGGGTCACAGAGGAGCCAGGTGGTGGAGTACACAGCAGGGTCACAGGGGAGCCAGGTGGTATACAGAGCAGGTCACAGAGCCACTTGTGTTGTGAAGCTTTAAAGGGACGAAGTTTACTTGACTGATTCCCTGGTGTAGCTTTTAATGTCTTTCATCTCCTCTGATTCATTGTTTCTACATTTCTCAAATTAGAAACACATTTTGGATTGCACAAGAGTACTCTCAACTTCCTAGGCAGACAGTTATAGTGCTGATATGGAAGAAATTACAAAGATCAGAAAAAAATATGCTTTTTTTTTTTTTTTTTTTTTTGTTTTGAAACAGGGTCTCAATATGTAGCCCAAATTGGCCTTGAAATGTCTATGTAGCCTAATGCCTCCACAGGACTATGATTACAGTGAGTGCCACCACGCCCAACTTTAAAAACAAAACAAAACATCTTCTGTGGTTTTTAGTGGTGTAAGTTTTGGGGGTTTGTTGTCTCTGATTCATCCCTCTATCCCATGTGTGCTGCTGGGGACCAACCCAAGGGCCTCCCAATGCATAACAGTGATGTACCACTAAGCTACACTCCAAAGCCATGGAAGTTTTTTTAAATGTATTTATGTTTAAATTGTGTGTGTGTGTGTGTGTGTGTGTGTGTGTGTGTGTGTGTGTGCGCCTGCCTATGGGTATGTATGTGCATGGGAGTACAGATGCCCAAAGAAGCTAGAGGCATCAAAATCCCTAAAGGTGGAGTTACAGGCACGTGTGAGGCACCCTACATGTGTTCGGGGAACTGAACATGTGTCCTCAACAAGGGAACTACTAGTTCTTAACCATTCTTAACCAGTAAGTCATCTCTCCAGCCCCTAGAAGTGTTTTGAAATTAGAAATCTGTATATTTCTTCTTCCTCTTTTTTTTTTTTTTTTTTCCGAGACAGGGTTTCTCTGTGTAGTTTTTGTGTCTGTCCTGGATCTCAAGCGGTAGACCAGGCTGGCCTTGAACTCACAGAGATCCACCTGGCTCTGCCTCCCAAGTGCTGGAATTAAAGGTTGTGCCACCACCATCCGGCTTCCAGAAATCTATATATCTTGCACCAGGCGGTGGTGGCGCACGCCTTTAATCCCAGATGGGAGGCAGAGGCAGGCGGATCTCTGTGAGTTCGAGCCCAGCCTGGGCTACAGAGTGAGTTCCAGGACAGGCTCCAAAGCTACACTGAGAAACCCTGTCTCAAAAAACAACAACAACAACAACAATAAAAAAATCTATATGGCCGGGCAGTGGTGGCGCACGCCTTTAATCCCAGCACTCGGGAGGCAGAGGCAGGCGGATCTCGGTGAGTTCGAGGCCAGCCTGGTCTCCAAAGCGAGTTCCAGGAAAGGTGCAAAGCTACACAGAGAAACCCTGTCTCGAAAAACCAAAAAAAAAAAAAAAAAAAAAAAAAAAAAAAAATCTATATGGTGTAGTGTAGTAAGCAGATGGCTGGCTCAGAAGGTCCATCCAGTGTTCTGCTAAACTGACCAGACAACGGCATAGACTCAGGAAGAATTAATCCAGGACAAGTAAAGACACCTGGTGTTGATATTTCTACATGTACATCAGCAACAATTCTTAAGAACATAGAATTCTATAAAAGTACTCAAAATTAATAAAAAAATATTGTGACAGTATGGTCATAACAAATGGCCAAGCAGGGTCCTTCCAGGACTCTCGATCTATGCCTGTCCTGGAGATGCTGGAAGAAGTGGCCGTGTGTGGCAACAATGTAGATGGAATGTAAACTGGACAGGGTACTGGTGCTGGCTTTAGTACAGATTCCATGATCTTTCTGCCTATGATGAGGACAAGTCTCAAAGGAGCTTTACAATAAATTGCATTAAGAAAATCTTTGTTTCTGTTTCTAGTCCACAAACTTAGAAAATCAAAGCAGGCTGAGAGGCTGGTGAAGTGGGGGAGGGGAAGCTAGAGCATGTCACAGTGGGCCATTTCCTAATTCCACATGGGACACAGAGACAGAAATTTCAAATACTACCCAGAAACCAGTCTTTTGGGGCTCTCAGCATAACTAGTCAAGGTCTGTAGGAAGGCCAGAGGGACCTTCCACCAATGCCCACAGCATGTGCCTTTCTGTGTGTGTCAGTAGCTCCACAGACAGATTCTTGAGTAGACAGGCCTAATGTACAGATTAATCCAACATCCATCATCTACCCTCCATTGAAGAAACTAGAAACCTGGGCAAAGTCAAATGAGAGAACACCTGCACAGTGGAGCTGACCTTACAGAGCACAGGGAGAACACACCTAGCCTGTGTCCAGAACACAGTCAGCGTCTTTTAACAGGTGGCTTGTAGATATAAAGGCCTCATTTTGATCCATCATCATAGCAGACTTTTTCAAGTAAATAAACTTAGACATAATTATTGCTCTTTTTCACCTCAATCTATCTCTTTGAGGGGCTATTTCATATTTTCCAGGCAAGAAGCCCAACTTGGAAACCAGTGAACCACCATGGGCACTGCAAATGTACAGCAGAGACGAGAAGTGAGACTTGGAACAAGAAGTGCCAGTGGCTAAGGCTCATAAGTCTCAGAGTTTGGGTCAATGGAGAGAGTCTTAAAGATTGGCTGGCCATGGATTGCACCATAAATTAGATCCTACAAAATGATAAGGTAGAAGAACCTCAGCATCTCATGCCACCCAAGCCTCCACTACTCAGACACCTTGAGCTCTGACACTAGTGACCCTGGGAGGAGGGACAGGCTCTGGGCACCTGGTGGCTCAGGAAGTGACACATATGATCCCTGGGAAGAGGCCACTGTGTACACAGACTCACTCACCTTACACTCCAGAAGTGTGAAGCTGACCTACCCCACTTTTACAGGTGCCTGCTTTGTTAAAAAGCAGGGTCACTTTAAATGCAACATAACCTGTAAACACTCAAAGTCTCTGGTGAACTTTGCTACTATCCATCCCGAAGGGGAACTGTGGTCGGGTGGTCAGCTATGCCATTTGGAACAGCCTGCTTCACATTCATCATACCCAAGATGGAAAGGAACTCCTGGGCACCTGTTCTAATTAGAGATCTGTCACCTACTTTCCAGAGTTGGAGAAATGACCAAACGGGCTGCAGAAATATGAGACAGCAAACCTGGAGTGGGGTAGGTCAGTGTAACACAGGCCCAAAGGGGAGACTCTCCCTTCACACAAGCACTGTCCCTCTGTGGAAGGAGACACTTGTCTCCATTCTGTCTGCCACTCTGGTTTCCCAGGGTTTTGTGGCTCCATGCTAGAGTCATTGGCATCTGAGATTTCTGTTTCACAGAGTGTCAGGAGCCAAGAGGCTTCAGTGCCTGTGGTGGTGGTAGGCATAAGAAAGTTGAGGTCTCCTGGATGGCATCAAGCAGAGAGCAATTCATGTTGGTACTGGAACCTGTGCTTAATGCACAGTTAGCCCACCGAGTCATTGGCCCAATTGCAGCCTGGGCAGTGTGCCAGGGTAGCTGCAGGCCATTTGCTTCCTCCTGCAGGGCTCTGTCAGGCAGAAGCTGATTCCCAAATTCCTCACCTGATGTCGAGTGAGAAGCAAGAGACCTGACCACGTAGTCTGCCTCTCTATTCCAGCATAGAGTGCAGGAGGACAGTCTAGGCCTGGTTTCCAGGGGACATAGCATCAGAAGGAGCTCAGTGGTGCTGTCTAGAGTCCTGGGGAACCAGCGACTCTGTGTCACCCTCTGGACCCCGGCTAGTGGCTGTGGCCAGACTCTGCATGGTCTCCTGCTGATACTGCCTGGCCTTGTTGTAGAGCAAGACACCCACTGTGACAAGGATGGTGCCAACGGCAGACAGGCTGGTGATTTTGTTGCCGAAAACGATGATGCTGAGCCAGATAGACAAGGCGTGCTTCACAGTGCTGGCGACACTATAGCAACAGAGCGGAGGAAACAGTTAGGCTCTGGGTTCACACCCACACAGAGTAGAGCCTGCTGTTGGCAGTGACTGGCAAATGTCACACAATGTCCCACCGCTGTGTCCTCCATCCAGGGTCTTGGCCCCAAGGGGGACATGGATGAGGCGCCTAGCAATAGGGTTGGGAGCATTAGGGATTTTGCCTGCAACTTGGTTCTTTTGCTTCTCAGGTTTATTCTTTTTAATGAAAACTGTCAAAACAGGGGCTGAAGAAATGAATCAGTGGGTAAGAGCAGTGACTGCTCTTCCAGAGAACCTGGGTTTGGTTCCCAGCACCCAGACGATGGCTCACAACTATCTGTAACTCCAGTCCCAGGGAATCCAATGCCCTCTTCTGGCCTCCATGGGCTCCAAGCATGCCCATGATGTACACACATACATGTAGACAAAACACCTGTACATATTAAATAAATTTAGAAGAAAAACCTCAAACAGAGAAGTAGTGAAACACTATGGCATATCCCCGTCACTTGGACTTGATGAATGGCATTTTGTTACCTTTGCTTGAACTTTCTTTCTTTTTTCCTTCCTTCCTTCGAAGCCCAGGCCAACATCTAACTCTCATATAGATGAGGCTGGCTTTGAACTACCAATCCTGCCTCTGCCTAAGTACTGGGATTATAAATGTACATTATCACACCCACTTTTGCCTTAGTTATTTTTCCCTTATTAAAAACATTTTATTTGTTATTTCACTTTTTGTGTGAGTATTTTGCCTGCATGTCTACATATGAACCATGTGCATACTTGGTGCTCACAGAAGACAGAAGGGGGCATTAGATCCCCTGGAATGGAGTTATGGATGGCTGTGAATCACCATGTGGGTGCTGGGAATCAAACCCAGGTCTTCTGCAAGAGAAACAAGTGCTCTAAACCTCTAAGCCATCTTTCTAGGTCCTTGTCTTAGTTTTTTTGAGACAAGGTCTTGCTATATGCCCTAAGCTGGCCTTAAACTTACAGTGGTCCTCCTGCATTAGCCTCTTGAATACTGGAATTACACAAGTGTGCTACAACCCCTGTCTCATTATTTATTTGAACTAAAATGTTTATTGTATTCTGTGTGTGTACCTGAGAGCGTGTATACGCATCACGTATGTGCAGTGCACCACATAGGTTGGATCCCCTGGAACTGGAGTTATACATGGTTGTAAGCTGCCATGTAGGTGCTCTGAACTGAACCCTGGTCCTCTTTAAGAACCACTCAGTCAACTTCCAGCTCCTGACCTGAAGTATTTTCAAGTCACCTGGAGATATTGTGGTGTGTCTTTTTTGGGAGTGTGGGGAGGGGGAGTTCTCACCATGGATCCTACTCTTGCCTCTGTTCTCATGCCTCAAACTTCTAAGTGCCGTGCCACCACTCCCTGCAACATTGGGATATTTTGCCCCTGAATACTTCAGCTTGCTCTCTATTTAAAAGAATGAGACAAACATCATGTATACTGTCAAAATCTTTACAGACCTGAGAGGAAAAAATAACCCTAAGATGCTATAATTTCTTAAGTGAAACTGGCCCCATGCACACATTATGACCCAGTAGAAACAGTTAATATGAAATACATTAAAACACCTGAACTTTTGTTCTGTTGGGCTGGGAGTATGGATAACTTAATTTTTACACTTTTCTGCCCTCTTGAACTTTCTATGATAAGAATAATCGGGTCTATGGGTTAGACATGCCTGGAGTAAATCAACCACAGGCAGAAATATTTGGGGAAAAAAACTGAGCCTATATTTAATATGTACAGACTCTTTTTTCCTTGCTATTACTCCCTAAAAGTACAACAGTTATTTATATAGCACTTATACAGCATCTTGTTTGTCCTAAGTTGTCTAAAGATAACTTAGAGGATGAATGTAGTTTCTATGCAAATTCCTTGCTATTTTATATAAGGAATTTAAGATCTGTGCATTTTGAATCATGTATGGTAGTACATGGCTATGCTCCCAGCATTTGGGAAATAGAGGCTGGAGGATAAGGAGTTCAAGGTTTCTTTGGTTATACAGTGAGTTCCAGACTAGCTGGGACTACATATAAGGAATCTCAAATATAAAAAAAAATCTGTGGATTTGGGTATTAGTGGATGGTCCGAGAACCAGTTTCCCTCAGATACTAAGGGTCCTGTACTTATTTGTTACTTTCACAACAGAAATAAAATAAAGCCGGGTGGTGGTGGTGGCTCATGCTTTTAATTCCAGCACTTGGGAGGCAGAGGCAGGCAGATCTCTGATTTCAAGGCCAGCCTGGTCTACACAGCAAGTTCCAGGATAGCCAGGCTACGCAGAGAATTGAGAAATAAAAACAAAATCAAACAAGAAAAAGTAAACTGATTAAAATCAAATAGAGAAAGAACTCTTTTGTCACCGTACTCCCACACTAAGTGCTCAAGAACAACATGTTGCCACCAGCTCCTGTCTGGAACACCTCAAACAGATTATTTAGACAACGTTGACAGCTCTCTTCTATATAGAAAAATACTCAAAGAATCTCCGAAAAATGTCTGCAACAACGATTTCGAGGAAAATGTTCCCTGAATATCAATTTCATACAGTGCTGATACAAAATATCAAAGGAACCATAATGTGCCACCAGCTGTCACTACAGAAGAGAACCTCAAACATCTTCCATGTCTCCTGAAAAAAACGTTCCACTCACCTGAAAGTCACAGGGGAGATCTTTCCCATAAGGGCGTATGCAGTGACACTCTGAAGGTGAAACAAGGCGCCATCTGTCAGCAGCAGCAGCACGAGGTCCTGGCTGTAGCTGAAGCTCTTCCCACTCCTGCCAATCACTGGGACATCCTATGGCCAAAACAAAAGGACGTGCTTCAGGCCTGTGTCTCCCTGCTGTGTCTGGCCTGCCATCACTGCTGAAAAGATGTGATATCACTGGTGCCCAGTAACTGAAGAGCAGTAACACTCAGCTCTGAATGCCTCTTTGCTAGATAGCACTCTACCACATTTATCAAGACTTTCAGCTGGGCTAGGCAGGGTACTACATGCCTATAATCCCAGCATTTAGGAAGTAGAGACAGGAGGATCTGGACTGTCTGAGATAAACAGCAAATTTGAGCCCAACCTGGGTTAATTTTGATCTTATCTCAAAAGTTGGCGGAGGTGCTGGGGAAACGCCTCAGTAAGTAAAGCACTTGGAATACAAGTATAAAAACTTGAGTTCAGATCACCAGAACATATATACAGCTGAACATGGTAGTAATGTCTGGACTCTCACTGCTCCTATTACAAGATGGGAAGCAGAGAGAAGAGAACCCTCAGAAACTTGCAGGACAGCTAACTTGGCTTGCAAACATGGTAGAAAGTAAGGACTGACTCCCAAATTTGCCCTCTGACCTCCATGTACACACTTCAGGTGTTTCACTATCTTATCAAAAATCAGATAAATAGGAAAGTGCTGGGGAGGTGGAGGTGGCTTCAGGTCTGCAATCCTAAAACTTGGGAGACTGAGGCAAGAGGACGGCCAACAGTTCCAAAGCCAGACTGGGCTGCACTGTGAGTTCTAGGCTAGCCTGGGCCTGCAATCTTTGCATTTGGGAGATTGAAGCTAGGACTGCCAACAATTTGAGACCAACCTGGGATATATGTTGAGTTCTAGGCCGGCCTGAGCTACAAAATGAGATCCTGTTTGTTTGGATATTTTAAACAAACAAAAACCCTCATTGGTAAGGATCTTAAGAAACTGAAATTTCTGTGTGTGTACTGCTAGTGGGAACATAAAATGTTTCAACCATCCATTCCAGTTCCAAGACTAAATTCCAAAGTCATACCTCCATTTGCAAAGTGTGTCGATGTGAGAAATTTCTTTATCATGTATGCAACTGGGCGGCAAGGTAAAGCTATGACCCACAGCATGATCACTATAGACTTCCCAGTGGAACATGTTTGAAAAAAAAGATTTACACAGACACACACTTCCATAAACGGAGGGACTCCAGGAAATGTGTCAGGAGTATATCTGTACCAAACTCACTACATGGCAACTTAAGGAATGAGGCTGAGGGTGGGAGATCATCTCAGTTTGGCTTCAAATATAAACCTATTGACTTAGGTGGGTGTGGGGACACATTATTTTAATACAAGCACTCAAGAGGCTGAGGCAGGCATATCTATGCAAGTCTGAGGCTAACCTGGTCTACATATCAAGTTTCAGGCCAGTCAGGGATACACAACGAGACCCTGTTTCAAAACAACAACAAAAAATGCCATTAACTATTCTATAATGGGCAAATACCAGTTCCATAATAAAAGATAAATTAAGCAAGCTTAAAAACCCTGACACAAAACTAAAATTTAGCCAACCACCCACCCTTCTCCTGAACTGTCAAAGGGAAGCAGTAGCCCCAATGTGGTGGGTGCCAGGCTGAAAACCCACCATGAAGAAGGTCCATGCTGGAATCAGCAAGGCCACAGCAGCAGCACTGGTATAAAACTGCAGTTCCGGGGCCCTAAGGCGACAGAAAATACTTGATCATTCCCATGCTTGGGTCCAGGCTTTTACCCAGGCATTTTTAGCAAAGAAAAATTTAAAGAACCAGCAATCTAGAAATGTGTCTCCCACAATGACAAGGCTGAAAGGGTCCCCCTGATCTGAGCTGTCTGTCTGGTATTCTGATGAGTAAGCTGGAAATCAAGTGATTTTCTCTCAATTTTCACAAAGAACTGTCAAAGCCACTCAAACCAAGTGAGTTCAGGCTCCCAGGGCTCATTCAGAGCTGTAAAATGATCAAAAGTCCCGGTGGGCTTTATGAAATTATATTCAATGCTGGATGTGGAAGTGCATACCTTTGATCCCAGCACTTGTGAGGCAGAGGAAGGAGGAACTTTACCTGGTCTGTATAGGGAGTGCTAGGACAGCCAGGACTACATGGAGAGAGATTGTCTCACCACCACCCCCACCCCCATTACACTCACCACTACCACCACTGCCAAAAATAGAAACTATAAAAACTCTTACTGGAGATACTTACGAGAACCTGTATTTGTCCCCACTGAGAAGCTTTTTTGAAAAGACATTCTGCAAACTAGAACAAAAAGAAGACGTCAAACATTGAAGTCAGCGAGCGAATAAGGTGGTGATGTCAGGGGCTACAAAGGTGAACAGCCACAGGCACGTACATGCCTGAGGCCAGTCCTGTACCAGGTGTGTCCAGTCATCATCTCGCTGAGAAGCAGAACTGTGCCTACTGTCCCTACAGAAAAGCAGCTAGAGCCTGAATGACCAGCCATCTCAAACATCAGAGGATCACGATGGTTTTGCTCTGCACACTTTGAAAAACACAACATGGGATGCTTAGGCAGGAAGATTAGGAGTCCAGAGTCATCTTCAGATACATAATGAGTTTGAAGCCAGCCTGGGCTATGTGGGACCCTGTCTCAAAATCCCAAAAGAAGGCTGGAGAGATGGCTCAGAGGTTCCGGGCACTTGTTCTTACAAGTGGACACAGGTTTGGTTCCAAGAGCTGAAATGGTGGCTCACAACCTTCCATAACCCAAGTTCCAGGAGATCCAGCATCTTCTTCTGACCTCCATGGGCCTCTGAAGGTCTCAGGTACATACATACATGCAGGCAAAACACTCATACATATATGATAAAAGTAAATCTAGCTGGGTGGTGGTATCATATGCCTTTAATCCCAGCACTCGGGAGGCAGAGGCCGGTGTCTTTGAGTTAGAGGCCAGCCTGGTCTACAGAGATAGTTCCAGGACAGGATCCAAAGCTACACAGAGAAAACCTGTCTCAAAAAACAAACAAACAAACAAAAACTAAAAACAAAACAAACAAAAAACAAAAACCCCAAAGCAAACAAACAAAAAATTCAATATAAGCCAAGAGTGGGTGGCACACACCCTTGATCCCAGCACTCAGCAAGCAGAGGCAAGTGGGTCTCTGTGAGTTCAAGGATAGCTTGGTCTACATAGTGAGTTCTAGGACAGCCAGGGCTAAGTAGAGAGACCCTGTCTCAAACAAACAAAATCTAAAACCAACCAAAATAAGCAAAGTAAGCAAGCAAAGAAACAAAACCAAAATAACTCCCTGGGGATGAAGTTCCCATAGATCTAGTAGCCTTAGGGTCCAGGCCAATGAGGGTTCCTATGATATGTATATGATTTAATAAAACTATTCATCTATACAAAAACCCCAGTGGGGAAATAATCAGATTTTTAAGTCAGAACTTATGAACAGACACACCATAGGGAAAACATACAAATAGCCAGTGGGAAAATAAAACAATTCTGGCTTCAAAAGTGACCTCAGAGACCAGAACCTGACACAGTGGGACACTGCTGCCTAGTCTCTCACTGGAGAGGGATCTTTATTTAGTGTAGGAAAAGGTGATACCAATCCTCACTGACAGAATAGTGACCAAGGAGGCTGTCTCAAGGAACAGAACAGCATGAACCAAGAGTATCTTCAGAAGTTCAGTACTCATCATAGATTTGTCTTTTAGAAGCTTACAGGGTAGTGAAAAAACAGGTAAAGATTCATGTTCCCTGCAGAATGGCTTCTGAACAGAAGGTTTCAGGGTGTGTGCAAGACCATGAGGAAGTCCCGGAAATTAGGCTGTGGAGAATGTCTAGTGATGAAGCTTCTCAAACAATGCAACGGAACAAGGTTCTAAGAGATTCTGTGATGTAACCTTATTAGATTCCCTTTTCCCCCCACAGGCGCCAGGTATATTTAATAAATACAACCCCTAAAATGATCAGAGAAAAATCCCCATCCTATCCTGGTCCCACCTTTACCCCTTATCAATACTACTGTGTGTAACGTTCTCCTTTAAAATGGCCTCAATCCCTGACAGGCTGGAAGGGAACAAGGGAGGAGCCTTTGGGTAAACACAAAAGCCGGGATTCCCAAACTGCCCATTCTCTTTGCATCAGAAGCAGCTCTATTAGCAAATGGAGGAACTCTAAAAGCTGTTCACCTCACCGCAAGGCACGCAGCAGGACTCTTAGGATTTTATGTCTCCAACTGTTCCGATCACAGTTTCTAACACAGAAACAAAACCGTGCAGTGCTTCAGTCCTCGCCTCACTCTCTTTCACAGAGACTTGCATTTCTGAGTTCTCAGGCTTCAACAGTAATTCAGTTACGAAGAGACAACCAGTATCATCCTGAGCGCCTTATTAGATTCTTAAGAAACACAAACAGTGAAGGACTGCCTAAAAGAAATGCATTACTAAGGTAAAGAACCAGGTAAGAATGGTTTCTATTTTTGTTCATATGCAACATTCCTAATTGCAAGACTGCTGTGGGATGGTCTGTATGTCAAATGTGTTGCTGATTGGTCAATGAATAAATCACTGATTGGTCAGTGGCCAGGCAGGAAGTATAGGCGGGACTAACAGAGAGGAGAATTGAGAGAACAGGAAGCTGGGTGAGAGAGACACTGCCAGCCGCCATCAGGACAAGGAAGATGTAAAGTACCGGTAAGCCACAAGCCACGTGGCAAGGTATAGATTAATAGAAATGGATTAATTTAAGCTGTAAGAACAGTTAGCAAGAAGCCTGCCACGGCCATACAGTTTGTAAGCAATATAAGTCTCTGTGTTTACTTGGTCGGGTCTGAGCGGCTGTGGGACTGGTGGGTGACAGAGATTTGTCCTGACTGTGGGCCAGACAGGACAACTCTAGCTACACAAGACCACGTGTTTTCTTCAGCAGTAACAGTAATAACAAACTAGTAGATACATAAAGTAGTTGTTTTCTTTCTCTCAAAGACCTAGACATGGTAGCACATGCCTTTATTCCAGGACTCAGGAGACAGAGCGCAGTGGACCACTGTGAATTCAAGGACAGCCCATTATGAGTTTCAGGGCAACATAGAGAGACCCTGTCTCAAAAACAAAATTAGTAAAAACCTTAAAGTAATTAGTGGTTCTGAAAAGAACAGGATTTTGGGGGTGAACTTCAGTGACAGAATAGATGGAAATAACCTGTCAGATACAGTGATTGGCCTGTGGATAGTATCTGTCATCTCAACACTCAGGCAGTTGAGGCAGGAGGATTGCAAATTAAAGGATAGCCTAAACTATACAGTGAGAAAAAAAATAACAAAAAGAAACAGGACTGGAATATGACATAACCCTCAGTAGATTGTGTGACTAACAACACCAATTCAACATTTTTTCCCAGGTCTTTGACATATGACTGGCATCTGCCTGAGAAACACCAGGATATAGTCACTAAGCCAGGAAGAGAAAAAAAATGTTCCAGTAGCCTGGCTTTATAGCCTTGAGAGATGGTCTCTGGCTTCTTCCTTGGTTTTATTTAGCTTGGCTATGTGACATACAGGATTAAACTTCTATTTTCCATCAGACAAAAACATTGTAGAATTAGCATATTAATTACCAGGTCTATCCTACAGTGTAACACATACACACACACACACACACACACAGGAGGGGAGGGGGACAGACAGAGAAAGCATACAAATATGTGGGTGTGTGTATGAATGTCATGGTACATATGTGAAGGTCAGAAGACCTCACTGTGGTTATTTCGTTGTTGTTGTTGTTGTTGTTATTTAAGGTAGTGTCTCACTATGTATCCCTCAACGACCTGTAGCTCAAAGTATTTCTCCTGCTTCTGCCCAGATTACAGGCACATGTGCCACCACACCAGTCTAGTTAGCATACTGATTATAACAATTATCCTGACTGTGTAACCATATCCCTCTAGTTAGTATATCAAGAATCAGGAGCCAGGTGGTGGTGGCACACACCTTTAATTCCAGCAGTCGGGAGGCAGAGGCAGGCAGATCTCTGTGAGTTCGAGGCCAGCCTGGGCTACAGAGTCAGTTCTAGGACAGCCAGGACTGATACACAGAGAAACTCTGTCTTGAAAAACAAAACAAAACAAAAGAATAGGGCAACACATCATCAAATTCCAGCTTGGTTAGGAGAAAATGCACCTGATCTGAAAGTTACTGTTGTACTTCTTGAAGAAAAGGCAGGACAGTAGAGCCTGGCTCTGAGTAACAGAAGTGGGGCTGAGCTAGCTTGGATTTGAACACCTGTGGATTCTGGTGAAGAAAAAACCAGCAATTTTTAAGCAACCTCTCCTTCATCATTTCCCCTTGTGATCTGTAACTCACCAGTCCATAATGTTGGTGGATAATGCAGCAGAAAACCCCAGGATGTTGAAGCTTATTTCAGTGGCGGTGCACAACGCTAGTCCTCCCATGACCGGGATGAGGGACAGGTTGACCAACAGCCCTAGCAAGAACAAAACAGGCCATGGCACACATGTGCAGGTTAGAGGATAACTTGTGGGAGATAGTTACCTCCTTACACCATTAGTCCTAAGGATTGAACTGAGGTTGTCATCCTTGGCAGCAGGCTACTTTACCCACTGCTGGCTCCTCCAGTTTATTTCTTTTTGGAAACAACAACCACCAAAACCAACCAACCAACCAACCAACCAAAACACCAAACAAGAAACAAGCCAGGTGTGTGGTGCACACCTTTGATCCCAATATTTGGGAGGCAGAGGCAGGCAGATCTCTGAGTTTGAAGCCAGCCTGGTCTACAGAGCAAGTTCCAGGACAGCCAGGGATACACAAAGAAACTCAAAAAATCTCAAAAAACAAAACAAACAAACAAAAAAAACCTACTACACAATAGAGTAAAATACCCATTCAGGGGCTAGAGAGATGGCTCAGCACCTGAGAATCCTTGATGCTCTTCTAGAGGACCCCAACTTAATTCTCAGCACTTACTTTGGGCTTATCACTGTCTGTGACTAAGTAACAGGGGATCTGATACTTTCCTCTGTCCTCTGCAGGCACTCATACACATGGCGCACACGCAAACACACACACACACACACACACACACACAAATAAATACTTGATTCAAAAATCTGTTCACTGAAATGTAAATCACAGTTCCTACCTGTATTACTTCTGGAAATAATATCAAGTACTATTCAGAACCTTTTCAGTTTTATATACAAGTCTTAGTTCAACAGTCAAAGAAAACAAGGACATGTGTCCTTTATGTTTATCAAAGTAACAGTCACAGTCCTATGATCAGTTCAACGTAATTTCATGAGAAATGGCTCCTGTTCCAGGACAGGCTGGTAAGGCCCAGTGCAGGGACTTGAACTTCTTAGGAAGTAATCAAGGAACTGAATGATTCCTGAGCCCAGAAGACCAAGCTCAGGAAAGGACACTTAGGCCTATCTTGAGAAAATCTTTTTGTTTTCAATCCCTTTCTTGGCTTTCTATGGTTGGTCTTATCCTTTGTCTCTTCTGTAATTTTCATTTAAATGGTGTACAACTGTATAAAATTCCAGAGAGAACTAGCCACTTTACCTGACTTTGCTTCTGGGCAACTGTGGCATAGCCAACGCCTCTCTCTGTCCAACTTGGGCTTCACTGGAGTCAGAATCCCAGCTCTAAGACTGGCTTTTTCAGACTGCTCCTTCGGTCTGACTTCCACCTTGGCAACTAAGATTCTAGGCTACCACACCATGATCAAATACCTCCTGGGGAGATGGTGACACACAACCAGTGAACCCTGACTCCCTTTAAAACATAGTCTCTGAGATCGAGGCCAGGCTAGTCTACAGAGTTCCAGGACAGCTAGGGCTGCACAGAGAAACCCTGTCTGGGGGTGGACGGGGACGGGGGTGGGGGAGTGGGGGGGGACGACAACGACTAGTACCTCGGCCACTCTCCAATGCCTCTGTGACAGATTCCTTTTTGATAAATTTCACCAGCATTTATTAATTGTTCTTGACAAGTGAATGGTTGCTTGAAGCTTCTTCGTCATAGTCAGAAGCCAAATCATGATGTTTTAAAATCATTTGAAATAATCCTCTTTTGCTTATTTGTTTTTTGTTTGTCTATAACAGGGTCTTCTCAATAAGTAAGTAGCTCTGGCTGTCCTAGAACTATGTAGACCAGGCTGGCCTCGAACCACAGAGATCTGCCTGCCTCTGCCTCTTGAGTGCTGGGGTAAAGGTGTGTACCGCCATACCTGAAATAATACTTTTTGTATGGCTAACTTGATAAGGTTCCTTTGTTTCATGTTGCTTGTGACTTTTAGGAATTGGTCTTTTGTCCCTTTGATTCTGGTTTATTGATTGTGAGCTATATCCCCAGCTCTGATTCTGGTTTACAATAACCTAAAAAATTATGTAGTTCCAAAAGCACATGTGAGAAGAATCCTGCGGCCAACCTGGCTGGTCTCACTCTGGCCCCTGTAGGAGGCCAGTTGCCTTCATTTCAAGGTATTGTATTTCTGTGCATGTATGCTATTGAGATGGAACCCAGGACTTTAGGCACATTAGGCAAGCACTCTGCCATTGATATGTGCCTCCAATTCTGATCTTGTCTTTTATTTAATATAAGCAAATACAAACATAAATCAATACCATTCTTATAAAAGATCTATTTGATGTACTCTTCTGCACCTCATTTTATTATTTTGTGTGTTCTGCATGCATGTATGTCTGTGCACCACCTTCAAGCAGTGCCCCCGGACGTCAGAAGAGGGCATCACACATACAAATCCCAGGAACTGGAGTTACAGACAGTTGTCAGCTGCCATGTGTTTTCTGGGAACTGAACCACGGTACTCCGGAAGATCAGCCAGTGCTTTTTTTTTTTTTTTTTTTTTTTTTTTAAGGTTTTTCGAGACAGGGTTTCTCTGTGTAGCTTTGCGCCTTTCCTGGAACTCACTTAGTAGCCCAGGCTGGCCTCGAACTCACAGAGATCCGCCTGCCTCTGCCTCCCGAGTGCTGGGATTAAAGGCATGCGCCACCACCGCCCGGCCATCCAGTGCTCTTAATTAATGAGCCATTGCTCCAGCCCCACCTAACTTGAATATAACAATCTTGAATATGCTATTTTTATTTTTAAGATTCATTTTTACTGATATGTATGTGTATGTATCTATGTGAATGCACGCCACTTGTGTGCAGGTGTCCTCAACAGCCAGAAGAGAGTGTTAGATTCCTGGAGCTGGAGTTACAGGTAGTTGTGAGCCTCAGATATAGATTCTGAGAAGTAAATTCAGGTCCTCCAAAAAGAGCAGCAAGTGCTCTTAAGTAGTGAGCCATCTTTCTAGCCCAGAATATGCTGATTTTCAAAAGGTGGTAGGGGAGAGACACTGGAGAGATAGCTCAGTGGATCAGGGCATTGGTTGCTCTTGCAGAGGATCTGAATCCACATGGTGGCTCAAAACCATTTGTAACTCCAGCTTCAGGAAACCCTTGGGTACCAGATACCAGACATGCGAGTAGTGCACACATATACATGCAAACAAAACATTCATACATATAAAAATTTTTAAAAAGTTCACAGGGTATGGGTCTAACATGGTAAGGGAATAATCAGAAACAGTCTACACATTATTAAAATAAATCTGACTTCCTCAGCCCTGGGGAGGATGGAGAAACAGTTGCCACAAAGCAAGCTGGGCAGCAGTGGCACACACCTTTGATCCCAGCGCTCGGGAGGCAGAGGCAGGTGAGTCTTTGAGTTCAAGGCCAGCCTGGTCTACAGAGCTAGTTCCAGGACAGCCAGGGCTACACAGAGAAACCCTATCTGCAAAAAGTCAAAAAAGCGTCACAAAGCACCCTAAGGAAGTGACCTAACTGTCCATTAAAGAGGGAGTCCTTATCGTTGAATATGGATATTGCCTTATTGTCTTTGGATCAAGATCAGCCCTTGGAGAACCCGCCTGTTGTTCACTCTCCAGCTTCCACCCCACTCCCACCAACTGGAGGTGTCATCCTCTGACCCTCATTCTCCCACAAACGCCCCAGCACGCAGACAGCTTGATGAAGCATTTGCTCCAAGGACTGCAGGAGACAGATGTGACTGCCAAGAAAACTTTTCAAGAACTGAAACAAGTGGTTCTAGGTCCGTCACTGCTCACTGCTCTGAGAAGCTCTGGAAAACCAAACAAGACCCAGCACATAATGGGCAGTAGGTGACACTGTAGATGGGAAAAAGGATGATGAAGGCCAGCCAGACAAGAGGGCAGGACCAGGAGAGTCCCTACCTGTGTACTCCCCCAGAATCATCCGAGACATGATCACTGTGAAAATGGGAGCCGAGCTCTTCACGGTCTCTGCAAAGGATACTGCCACATTCTTCAGGCTGACCAGCCCCAAAACCACTGTCGCAAACCTCAAAACAAGAAAAGAACCACATGAGAAGAGACCTGTCTGCTTATAACAGAGACTCCAAATGCTTAGTCATGACCAGTGGGCACATCTGGTCCCTTGTCCCAACAAGGAGGTTGAGTCCCAGGTGAGGATGACACCACTGCACTCAAGGATAGCCAATACCTTCCTACTACTACTGAACTACCTTTTATTATTATTATTATTATTATTTTTTTTTTTTTTTTTTTGAGACAGGGTCTCACTGTGTAGCTTGTGGCTGTCCTGGAAGTCACTATGTAGACTAGACTGGCTTCAAATTCACAGAGATCCATGTGCCTCTGCCTCCCAAGTGCTGGGATCAAAGGTATGTGCCACTACACCCAGCTGAATTACTTTTTTTAATGACTGCCTTATAAAAGATTCTGAGAGAGAATGTATGTGGCATTAAGGGCCACAAAACTGAAATCTAACTGATGGATGTCCCACAACTGGATGGCACTATGACTGTATCCTGTGTCTTGAACACATACTTAGAAGCACTAATTGCCAAGGCCTCCAATAGGGTTTCCACATTAAGTAACTAGAAAGGTTTTCTGTTTGTTTGGTTTTGGCTTTTCAAGACAGGGCTTCTCTGTATCTCTGGCTGTCCTGGAACTCTCTTTGTAGACCAGGCTGTCCTCAAACTCACAGAAACCCTCTGCCTCTGCCTCCGGAGTTCTGGGATTAAAGTCATTCACCACTACACCTGGATTAGAAAGGAATTTTATACCTAAAAAACGTAATTAAGACAGTCAACACATTTTTACCTCATGAGGCCCACAAAGAGCATAGTCATGATGAAGTTGGGTGGATAAGAGAGCCGGGTTTTGTGTTGATACAAACAGCAAGGAACAAATATTTTAACACATCCAATTAATGTCGTTGACAGCATCTGCACAGCACCTGTGGAGGGAGGCATGAGGCCACGCTGACACAGTCCTTTCCCACACATGAGCACAGAATATCACCCTTCATTCCAGAAACACATCTGGGTAAGTTCCTTTAGCCCTTCCCCTCCCTCCTGGTGGCCTCTGGCCACTCAGCACTGGGGCCAACAGGAGTGCACACTGGGCAAGGTGCATTACCTAACATGCTGGGCTCTCCCTCTAACAGGGACAGGATGTACTTGTTGAGAAACAGGGTACAAAAGCTGAAGAAGAACCACAGCGTGAGGTAGATGAGAGCCCGTGAACTCCACACACCCAAGTCCGACTCAATGACAGTAGTCTCTGTGATGGTGACGGTGAGCAGGCTCTCCTCTGGACTGCCATCACCTTTGGTAAAGACAATCTTCTCACTCCGGTGACCAAAAAGGGGGCCCCAAGGGAGAAGTGTTTTTCCTTTCAGCTCTTCTTCGCAGCCGGGTACTGTCTCCTCCAATGCTTGGGATTTTGCTGATGACATGCTGAGGGCACTTGTGAGAAGTGAATCTCAAGGATGGACCACATGGATCAAAGTGACTGCCCAGGCAGAGGGACACAGTTGGAGGAGGCAGCAGTCCTCGTCTGCATGAATGTGGACCCCAACATGCCTGTCTCCAGCAAAGTGAGGAAGCAAAGGCTAAAATGTTAAGAAAAGAAACCATATTACTAATTTTGAACATCTTATATTCTTTTGTAATCTTCTGTGTATGATGCATGTGATGCACGTGTGCATCTGAATGTGTTTAAGTGAAGACGTTATGTGGAGGTCAAAGAACAATCTTGGGTCCTGACTTCCACCTCGTTTGCCATCTTTTTTGTTGTTTGCCACTATGTCAGCTACCTGTTCCACCACCTTCCAAGGGTCCTCCTGTCGCCTTTTCCTAGCTTGCCTTCCAAAGATTCTCCTGTTTTTTTTTCTATCTTGACATGGAAGGGATTACGGTTGCCTGGCCCTGGAGACCCCACCTAGCTCAGGAGGTACCAAGCCAAGGCTGCCCTCTTCCTCTTCCCAGGCTGGTTCTTCTGTGAATGGCTCAGCTCAGCCCAGACCTGCTGTCCCCTCTGCCTCCTGGTCTCTAATGACATTGTTTGCATCTTGTCAGCCCTCTCAGAGATCAGGAAACACCCAAGAATAGGAGGAGCTCACTGTTCCTCCTTAACTTCTCATGCCTGGCTGTTTCTCCACACCTTCCACAGAGCTTCCATCTGTCCCTAACTGGATTGAGGGTTTTTTATTTTTTTTATTTTTAAGATTTATTCATTTATTATGTATACAGAGGAGGGTGCCAGATCTCATTACAGATGGTTGTGAGCCACCATGTGGGTGCTGGGAATTGAACTCAGGACCTCTGGAAGAGCAGTCGGTGCTCTTATCCTCTGAGCCATCTCTCCAGCCTCTGGATTGAGTTTTTAATTCATGAAAGTCCTATTTGTTTCCATTTCAAATTGGCCTGTTCTCATTTTGTTCTTTCAATTCCTCTTTCACATCCTTTACAGTCTCTGCTGGTTCATTATTCATACATCATTGCTACTTAGGTCTAATTTTTTTCTTGGTGGATGGATGAGCATGTCAGACCACACCTCTACCTATTATTCTGGCTTAATCCTGGTTTGCCAAGGGCCCAGGACCAATTTCATGCTACTTTCCAGACAAACACTACACTAATGAGGATGTTCAGACCTGTGCCACAATGTCTACGACGAGATGTCTACCGCTCTTAAAGCCTTAGGCAGAGCCAACCCATCCTGCGCACCTATGGGTGCTGGCATTCCCCTAGCTCTGGCTTTGAGCAGGCTCTCATCTTTGACCTGCTCAATCTTTTTTTTTTTTTTTTTTTTTTTTGTTTTTCGAGACAGGGTTTCTCTGTGTAGCTTTGCGCCTTTCCTGGGACTCACTTGGTAGCCCAGGCTGGCCTCGAACTCACAGAGATCCGCCTGGCTCTGCCTCCCGAGTGCTGGGATTAAAGGCGTGCGCCACCACCGCCCAGCTGACCTGCTCAATCTTATGAGGATCAAGATGGCGATCCTCCTTTACAAAGAAGACATAAAAACATCACTCTAGCCTGGGGATGTAGGTCTTTGGTGAAGTGCTTGCCTACCAAGCACAAGGCCTGAGGTTTGAGGCTCAGTACTCAAACAAACAATAAAAAGAAAGAACAACAAAAACCAAAACACCACCACCAAAGAAGCTTTAACAGACTGTCACTTAGGCTTCCTGGTTTCTGCTTCTATGGTTTGGAGCAGTGGCTGCTCTTCCACAGAATCTAGTCTAGTTCCTAGCACCCACATGGCAGCTTACAACCCTCTGTAACTGCAGTTCCAGGGGATCTAATGGCCTCTTATGGCCTCCACAGGCACCAGGCATGTACATGGTTCACATATATACATGAAGACAAAATACCCATACTCATAAAATATAAAATTTAAATTAAAAAAAGGCACCTCTTCCCTATCCCTTCTCTTCTTTTTATGTTCAAGGGTGCTTTGCCTGCATGTTTGTGCACCATGTGCATGACTGGAGCCTGCAGTGGTCAGAAGAGGGTGCATGATCACCTAGAACTGCAGTTACAGAGGGTGCATGACCACCTAGAACCGGAGTTACAGAGGATTGTGAGCCACTGGATGGGTGATGGGAACCAAACTCAGGACTTTTGCAAGACTGTTCTTAACCACTAAGCCATCTCTCCATCCCAGCCCTCTTTTTGAGGCACATTGCAGGTATTAGCTCCGGATTGTGCATCTAGCCTCATGCCCTTCTGGATATCATGGTTTCTACCTTACCAGGACCCCTAATTCATACTTCTATGTTTGCATGTCCTGACTCATGTCAAATATTCTGTGTGTATACCGAAGGATATACACAATGCCTGACTGTGAAGACCTCACCCTATGTACTTTGCTATCTGTAGTATGGAGAATGTCATACTCAGCTGGGGGAGTCTTGCTCCTGGTGTAATATCAGAGCCTGTGTAGTCATCCTTCTCCACCTAGGGCTCTGGCAAGTCTCATCACTACCTGATCCTAGCTAGTATCATTCTTTCTCCCGTCATGACCACTCAGTACATAGGAGAAGCCTTGCAGTGTATCCCAAACCATTATGGGGATAGCACTGCTCCTCTAGCTCTCTGGGTTCTGTTATGCCAGACTCCATTCAATGCTGTTTTCTTCTTCCTCATCACTGGCAATGTCACAGTTTGGCTCTAGTGACACCTTGCTGGTAGCTGAACCTCCTAGGTTCTAGGACTGGCCAGGCCCTGTGCTGCGATGGAAAGAGAATTCATACTCCACCATACCCCTTTCCTGCCCAGGAGAGCAGTCTGACTGAAAGTGGAGTGGCCATTTTACTATCTGGAAGAAAAAGTTGAGAAACAAAAGTCACTGCCAAGGTGTTGGAGCAAAGTCTGTACCTCAGGACACCCAGGACCCCTCAATCAACCCTTCTAGGCTTCTTATTGTAGGAGCTAAATAACGTATGAGAACCCCTCAAACAGACTTTTTGGTACCCAAATTCTGTTCTATGCTAGCCCCGGCAAAACCCTCTTATACTGGAGCCTGCAGCTCCAGCCTTCATCTACCATCCTGTTGATGGGCTCCACTTTCCCTGTCAGATCCATAATATCAAGACTCCCAACAGTTCCAATCTCCAGGGGACCCTACCCCTTATGGGTTAATTTAAGTGTAAGAGCTAGTTAGTAATAAGCCTCATCTACCAGCTGAGCATTTATAAGTAACATTAAGCGTCTGAGTCAATTATTTGGGAAGTGGCTGCCGGGTATTTGGGAACAGGCAGGAGGGAGAGAAACTTCTGTCTACATGTGGCACCCAAACATTTGCCAAGAATTTCCACATAAAACCTGAGAAATCTCTGGGTGGTGATGGTGCACCTTTAATCCCAGCACTCGGGAGGCAGAGCAAGGCGGATCTCTGCGAGTTCGAGGCCAGCCTGGTCTACAGAGCAAGATCCAAGACTGGCACCAAAACAACACAGAGAAACCCTGTCTTGAAAAACACAAAAACAAAAAACCTGAGAAATCTTAAAAAAGTATTCTAAGCACATAAAAACAGAGTCAAACCCAGCTTCTTGGTAACAGTCTTTTCTCCGGTAGGCTCTGTCTGCTGGTGGCGTGCAGAGGTGCGGCTTCTTAGAGATGGCTTCCTGACTCAGAATTAGTGGCAAAAACCACATGGCTCTTTTAAGAGGCCTTGCTGCCAAACACTTATATGGTGTTTATGAGCAGCCAGCAGCACACTACTCAATGGTGGCATGGAACTAAAACCTCCCCAGAGTTGGGGGTGACACACATCGCTCCCTCTGCCATGAAGATAGACTCTCAAGAAGCCAAGGAATGGGATGGAGCCAGCCATTTTAATCCTAGCTAGCTGCTTAGCAGATTAATTGCTCATGAGGTCAGAAAAAGATAAAGATGTGCAGTAAAGACAGATTCAAAAAACAAACAAACACACAACCTCTAAACAGTTCACAAGGTGTTTAAAAAAGGCTTGAGAGAAAAAACAGAAGGTATAGACAGTCATAAAAAAGAAATATATAGTTTGTTTTTTTTTTTTTTTCAAGACAGGGTTTTTCTATGTAGCCTTGGTTGTCCTGGAACTCATTCTGTAGACCAGGCTGGCCTTAAACTCACAGAGATCTGGCTGCCTGTCTCCTGAGTGCTGGGATTAAAGGTGTGTGCTACCACCGCCCAGCAAAATATATAGTTATTACCTTAAAAGGGGAGTAAAGTAATATTTTAAAAAGCCACATAAAGATGGAAAATATACAGAGTCTGGATACTGTATGTTATTGTGTTGTCTTTGAATTGTTTTACTGCTGAGGAAGCAGGAACAGCTGCTAAGAGACATTTGATTATAAATGTAGCTGGGGGTTAGAGAGATGGCTCAGCAGTTAAGAGCACTGACTGCTCTTCCAGAGGACCTGAGTTCAATTCCCAGCAACCACGTGGTGGCACAGAACCATTTATAGTGGGATCTGATGCCCTCTTCTGCAATAAAGATGTACATGCAGATAGAGCACTCATATACATAAAATGAATAAATCTTTAAAGAAAATGTTGCTGGATTAATCCACCTATATATTTTGAAAATGCCTTGACTTCAAAATTTAAGTCAAAAGATACGTTACTTTGGAGAAGAGGTTCTGCTTTTATCTCCACAGGAAATGAGAAGCTGTGGATTCATTCTGGGTTAAGAAAAATCAAATTTGGCTGGGCAGTGGTGGTGGTGCACGCCTTTAATCCCAGCACTCGGGAGGCAAAGGCAGGCGGATCTCTGTGAGTTCGAGGCCAGCCTGGGCTAGAGAGTGAGTTCCAGGACAGGTTCCAAAGCTACACAGAGAAACCCTGTCTCGAAAAACCAAAAAAAAAAAAAAAAAAAAAAATCAGATTTGATCGAGGAAAACCCCCTGAAAAATCTCCAGTGAGAACAGATGGCCCAGATGATCCAGTGTTTCAGACACCTCTGCTGCAGTTTCCTCTGAGTTCTGTATCCAGAACGGCTTCAAGACCGCTGGTTGAGAAGATCTAGCCTCAGAATTCTCCAATCAGGACTTGACCATAATCCTAAATTTTCTCAGGGTCACCCAAAGACTACCAGTGCCCCCAGTCAGCAGGAAGTAATCTAGAGACCCACGCTCACATTCCCCAAAATATTACAAATGTTTGTCGTAGTTTAGGGGGGTTAGTTACAGTTGTTATGGATAACGGTCAGGAAAAAAAGGTAAACAAAGGAGATTAGATTCAGGGATCTTGTTCTGAAAAGAAGAGAGGGGATATAGAAATGATAGGAAAAAAGGGTAGATTATTGAATCTACTTTAATCTAAAAAACAACTAGTAATCTTACATATTTTACATTAGTATGGGTTTTGGTTTACTGATACAAATTTAAAGTTAATTTTATTATACTGTATGTATATTTATACTCTTGTTTAGGGTATTATGTTTATGCAGCTCATTTAAAAATGTAATATATAATTAAGAAATACAACCTTATAGTCATCTTAATAGTCAAACTTATAGTCACGTTAGTTAGGTTTTCTAGGTATACAGAGATATATTTCAGATAGATAGGTAATCTTCAAACATTTCAAAGACTTACAGAATATGGTGTTTAAAATGTTTTAATAACTTTGGCTTTTCATGACAATGAGACATGTTTGCTCCTGGCAGCACCAATTACTTCAAAGAGGATGATGGGCATCAAAGAAACTCCATACGGAGTTTGTTTTCTTTATGGCAAAAGCTAGCCACGGGGGCAAAAAAAGTACCTTTGCCGCAACTGCTGACAGTATGCTGTACAAACTGGACAAGCAGGACACAAAGAAAGTGACTGCAGAACTATGCCTAGACAAGGTGGACAGTCCTTCAAAACTCCTGCTTCACTGATAAGTCTGTCAGATATGTTAGGCTTGCAAGTCAAAGATGGATGCCCCAACATTGCAGAGGACCCTTGGGTGACTGTCCAGGCAGCTCGAGGTCCCTGTCATTAGGTAACATTTCACCCTTCTGGGGTCTTTGATGGAGTTGAAGACTAAATAATTATAATTACAGTTTTACTTAGTTATGATAGAAAGTAAATTAGATACAAAACTTTAGACTCACTAAGATAAATTATTTTCTCTAATTTTGCCAAATGCAAATGAATTAGATAGTGTTACTGTAATTCTTACTTAATAATTGTTTTTGTTGTATATCTTACTATGTTAAAGTTAAAACTTTCCTTTTTAATTAGACAAAAGTGGGGGAAATGCTGTGGAATAATTGTCTTGTACACTGTAAAGATTTGTCACTTGAAATGGTTTAATAAAACGCTGATTGACCAGTAGTAGCCTGCAGGAAGTATAGGTGGGGCGACCAAACTAAGAATTCTGGGAAGAGGAAGGGTGGAGTCAGGAGTCACCAGCCAGACGCAGAGGAAGCAAGATGAGAATGTTGTACTGAGAAAAGGTACCAAGCCACGTGGCTAAACATGGATAAGAATTGTGGGTTAATTTAAGCGTAACAGCTAGTTAGTAATAAGCCTGAGCTGAGCATTTATAAGTAATATTAAGCCTCCGAGTCAATTATTTGGGAAGCGGCTGCCGGGTATTTGGGAACTGGCAGGAGGGAGAGAAACTTCCACCTACATAACCCAACAAACAGTATATAAACAGTATATATATTCTGCAGCTACCACTGAGCTTCCAACACTATACTCATCTGCAGGGCAAGAGTGACATTCAACAGAGTCAGCAAGATGGCTCGGTGGGTATCACCAATCCTGGGATTCCCGGGATTCCCCACAGTGGAACAGAGAACTTGACTCCTACAAGTTGTCTTTGGGCCTCTGCTCCCACACCATTGCACACATTTCACCACCAACCCGCTAACACATACACAGTAAGTAAAATCTAATTTTTAAAAAATGTGTAAAATGACACTCAACAAACATCTATCAGGTCTACAAACACAGAGATGAGTGAAGTTCTGTGTTCTCAGCATCGGCAGATAATTCAAGCAGGTTACAAATATTACAAAACAAAGCTTGAGTTCAAATGTGTACTCACCCTTGCTCAACCATCTCTTTCTCCCAGGACAATCATTTTACCAGCTTTCAACAGGAATTCACGACATTCTAGGCAACTGGTCCTTGTTCTCTGGTGAGGCAGTGTGCACACCAAGGAGCCCTAGGAGGCAGTATATAAGGATCAAGAGACCTTACAAAGCCCAACATCCCAGGCTTCGCACTCATGCCTGGTTAGGACATTCATTGAACCAGGAACTAACTTCCTGTAACAATAACTTAAGCAAGAAAATAATTTTAAACAGATTCATTCACATAGCAAGTCATTCCTTCACATCATCAACATGCAACATCTCCCTATTTATATAATGGTGCATGCATCCTCTATGAACCAACACTTGGGTTATCCATTCATCCTCTCCAAGTGTTTCTGCTGGCTTGCCCTCAGGAGTGGAGACACCCATCATGGCATGTGCATATGCTCACCATTATAAGATGTTACACCCACATTTCTGCTGGGCTTGTCTAAGACCCTCCAGCCAAACACAGTTTTTCCTGTTTCCCTCTTCACTGCTGGGCATTAATATCATGAAACATCTGCACCCCAGTATGCATGCTGCCACAGCCAAGGTCACAGAATAAAGCCTAACCTTCCCCAATGTAAGCATTTCTGACTGTACCAAGCAGTAGAAATTCCTACCACCAACTGTGGATTCAAATGAAGACCCAGGATCTATAAGCAGCAGACACAAAGAAGGGGCCCAATATCCCCAGCAGTCAAGTAAGAGAACCTCAAAGAAAAGTCCAAGTTTCAGATCATGTTTCATGCCCTTTGATGATTCAAGGGCAGCCAAGCAAGGAGCCACTGAGAGAAGCCACCCCCACAGAGACATGGATGGATTTTGTTCACTCCACTGATCAGAGAACTATCTGACGGTGCAAATGCAAAGAGATTTCAAGTCAGTTGTTTACACAGGACCTTTCAAGAGTCAGTGTATGTAGGGATGGTGGTGCAAGTCTGTAATCCCAGCACCGGGGAGGCTATGGCAGGAGGATCTTAAGTTTGAGGCCAACTTGGGAAGTGTAGTGATGTGTTTCAACTCTCCCACCCCTCCCTTTGCCCCTCCCCACAAAAGAATAAAAAAGAAAGGAAGGAAGGAAGGAAGGAAGGAAGGAAGGAAGGAAGGAAGGGAAAGAGGGAGATAATCAACAAGGCATTTCACTGAGAGACACTTAAGTAAGAGTCAAGCTGTACCATGGAGATGTGGACAATGGGTATCTCACACAATTGGGAGCAGACAAATCAAACAGAACAGAACACACCTAATATCTACCCAGGAAAGCAAGCACTGTCCTTTCCTCACAGAACAAGACCTCTGCCACATCTGCCTACATCAGATTCCAAGTCCACTTGGATGTGTCAAAAAGACACAAGATGGCCGCAGTGTCACATTTTTCTCTTCTCTCTCTCTCTCTCTCTCTCTCTCTCTCTCTCTCTCTCTTTTGGTTTTTCAAGACAGGATTTCTCTGTGTAGCTTTGCACCTTTCCTGGAACTCACTCTGTAGACCAGGCTGGCCTGGAACTCATAGAGATCCACCTGCCTCTGCCTCCCGAGTGCTGGAATTAAAGTGCCCAGCTATATTTTCTCTTCTTGATGCCTGTGGATCTGGATGGAGAACTCTCAGCTGCTTCCTCAGCACTAGGTCTGTGTGTGTTGCCATGCTCCCTGCCAGTGATGATGGACTAAACCTTGTAAATGTAAGCAAGCTTCAACTAAATGCTTTCTTTTGTAAGAGTGTGGTCACGGTGTCTCTTCACAGCAATAAAAATGATTAAGATACAGGGTCTGTTTAACCTCATGACCAGGACAAGGCTGTGCATTAGCCCAGCCACATTCTGTTAGTGATGTTCCTGGAATTACTGTAGGGTCTTTTCAGCCCTAACTTCAGAGATGCCTATGGCACCCATTATGTGTGATGTGCTATCATCCCTCACCTGGTCATCAGCTCGATGATGATGGGGTGAATTTGGGCTTTCACACTAGAGCAGAACAGGCAGGCAGGGGGACCCAGGCTCCATCAGCAGGTCTGTGCTGCTGCCCACCACATCCAGAGCAGGGCCCAGGGAACCCTCATATGCCAGTGTAGACACTTAACCCTAGCACACAGTCTTTTTGTGACAATTGGCATTTTGACCAATCACCCACTCTGCCCAGTAATGACCTGACAAAGCTACTTTTCTACCTTTTAAAACATTCATACCAATAATATGCTGACCCAGAAATCTACTGAGTTGAGGATGCACTGGCAAACCCATATAGCTCTTCTGTAAATAGAAGAAATTCTGTGTCTCAGAATTGTGAGTTTTAATTTTTTTCTTCAGATAGGCTCTCACTATGTAACACTGGTTGGCCTGGAACTCACTATAGAGACCATGCCAGTCTTGAACAGAGATCCACCTGTCTCTGCCTCCCAAGTGCTAGGATTAAAGCACGCCTAAAATGTTTAAACAACACCAGAAACACCTTCAAATGATGGGTTAAACAAAAAACAAGAAACCAAACCAAACCAAGACAACAAAACAATGGACCCCAAGTAAAGTTATAAGACTCAGGTATGTTGATGCACATCTGTAATCTCAAGTCTCAAGGAGGCTGAGGCAGGAGGATCCCAGGCCAGCTAAGGTTACCAAGCAAGACCCTATTCCAAAAGATCAAGATCTAGAGGGATGGTAAGACAGCTTAACATGTAAAGGTGCTTGCTGCCAAGCATAATAACCTGAGTTCAATTTCAGGAATCCACATGGCAGAGAGAACCAACTCCTGTAAGTTGTCCTGTGACCTCCATACATGCCATGATGGCATGCACACACACACATAATAATCAATTTTTTTCAAGACAAATAATATTTAAATAAACTTTAAAAATGAATAACAAAAGGGTTAGAGGGGGCATGGTGTCATAAACATGCAATACTAGTAGGCCAAAGCATGATCAAGAAATCAAAGCCAGGGGCTAAAGAGATGGCTTAGTGGTTGAAAAGTACTTGTTCTTGCAGAGGACCCAGACTGAGCACTCACACGGTGGCTCACAATCATCCCTAACTTCAGTTCCAGGGATCCTTCTTTGAACTCCATGGGCACCATGCACACATGTGGTTCACACACATATGTATGCAGGCAAAACACTCATACACATAAAGTTGGGCTAGAGAAATGGCTCAGATGTTAAGAATGCTTGTTGCTTTTCAACAGACTTCAGTTCCCAGCACACACAATGAACAGCTACAATCACCTCTAATTCCAGCTCCCAGGTATCTCAAGTCTAGCCTCAGAGGGCACCTGTCCTCACACGCACACACCCACATGCATACAAACACTGTTGGAGTCAACAAAGCTAGGAAGGAGTGGAGAGCCGGAGGGTCCTCTAAGCCTTTTGACGGCAGACATGACCAACAGGATTTGGAGTTGCCGTGCTTGCTTTTGTTCTGGTTCAGTATTTCCTCACGGTCCCCCCTTCCTCCCTTTTGGAATGTAATGTATGTTCTGTGCCGTTGTATGTTGGAAGCATGTGATTTGATTTTTCACCTTACAGGGGATTACACTTAAGAGACTGTGTTGAAGGTGGATTTTGTGAGTTCAAGGCCAGCGTGGTCTACAAAGCAAGTTCCAGAGAGAAACCCTGTCTCAAAAAAACAAAAAAACAAACAGAGAGAGAGAGAGAGAGAGAGAGAGAGAGAGAGAGAGAGAGAGAGAGAGATTGAGAGTGCTTTACTCAAAAGAGATTCTTGGCTTTTTTTTTTTTTTTTGAGACAGGGTTTCTCTGTGTAACAGCTCTGGCTGCCCTGGAACTCTCTCTGTAGACCAGGCTGGCTTTGAACTCACAGAGATCTATCTGCCTTTGCCTCCCAAATGTTGGGGTTAAAGGCATATGCCAGCCAATATTTTGAACTTTAAAATTTTTGGACTTTTGATTAAAAGACTATGGAGACTTTTAAAGTTGGTCTGAATGCATTTTGCATTATGATATGGCTACAAACTTCTTGGGGCCAGGGAGTGGAATGTGGTGGTTTGAATGAGAACAGCCCCTACAAGCTCATATATTTGAATGTTTGGTCCTCAGTTGGTGGAACTGTTTGGTAAGGATTAGGAGGTATGGCCTTACAGGAGGAAGTGTGTCACTGGGGGTGGGTTTGAGGTTTCAAAAGCCCACACCATTCCAGTTAGTGTATGCACACACTCACTCTCTCTGCCTCGATGTTATCTCAGCATGTAAGCTCTTAGTGACTGCTCCAGCACCATGCCTGTCTGCCTGCTGCCATGTTCTCCATGATAGTCAAGAACTCATCCTCTGAAATTGTAAGCAAGACAATAAAATGTTTTTATTTTTACAAGTTGCCTTGGTCATGTGTATCATTACAGCAATAGAAAAGTAACTAAGACACATACCTACACATAACTTAAAAATAGTGAAAATAAAATAAAGAAAAAGTTTCTAGCCATGGTGTTTACACTGTTGTGAAATATTCCTTTACACTCTGTGAAGATATGTCACTGGGATTTTTTTTTTTAATAAAAAGCTAAACAGCCAATAGCTAGGCAGAATTTTCGGGGCAGAGAGAACACTGGGAAGAAGGTGGAGTCACCAGCCAGATGCAGAGGAAGCAGGATGTGCAGGAGCAGAGGTAACAAGCCATGAGCCACAAGGCAGCATGTAAACTAATGGAAATGGGTTAATTTAAGTTATAAGAGCTAGTTAGAAACAAGTCTAAACTATGGGCCGAGCTTTCATAATTAATAATAAGTCTCCATGTCATTATTGGAGAGCTGGCAGGCAGGACAGAAAAAAATTGACTACTACAACACCTTTAATCCCACCACTTCGGAGGCAGAGGGAGATAGAGCTCTGTGAGGTCAAGGCTAGCTTGTGCCACATAATGAGTTCCAAGCTAGTAGGGCTATGTAGTCAAACCCTGTCACAAATAAATAAATGATTAATTTTAAAAATAAGCACACCCATAAAAAGAAAAAGTTATTCTACTGGGGTGGGGGAGCTATGTTCACCACCTAGAATGCAGCACAGAGGTATCAGATTAAAAGGCTAAGGAGACATTACCAGAATATGGGGGGAAGCAATAAGAATACAAGTTCCAGAAGGGCTGGGCTTGGTCAAGGGCCTATAATCCTAGCTACCAGGAGAATCACACATTCATGGTCTGCCTGGGCTACAAAGCAAGTTCAAGACTAGCATAGGCAACTGAGTGAGACTTTGTCTCAAAATAAAAAGCAAAAAAAAAAAAGGCCGGGCGGTGGTGGCGCACGCCTTTAATCCCAGCACTCGGGAGGCAGAGCCAGGCGGATCTCTGTGAGTTCGAGGCCAGCCTGGGCTACCAAGTGAGTTCCAGGAGAGGCGCAAAGCTACACAGAGAAACCCTGTCTTGAAAAAACCAAAAACCAAAAAACAAAAAAAAGCAAAAAAAAAAAAAAAGGAGGGGGGTGGGTTGGGGATTTAGCTCAGTGGTAGAGCACTTGCCTAGCAAGCGCAAGGCCCTGGGTTCACTCCTCAGCTCCTGGGGGGGGGGGGGGGGGAAGGTTAAGGGTATAGTTTAGTGATAGAATACTTATTTAGCATATTTGAGACCGTAGGTTCAAATCACAATACCATTAAAAAAAAAACAAAAAAAGAAATCATCAGGGCCAAAGAGATGGCTCAGCAGGTAAGAACTGGCTGTTCTTCCAGAAAACTCGGATTCAATTCCTAGCAACCACACAGCAGCTCACAGCTACCTGTAACGCCAGTTACAGTACTCTTCTGGCCTCTGTGGGTACCAGGCACTAAAGCAGTGCACAGATACACATATACACATGATCATATTAAGAGAAGAGACTTCTGAGCAGTTATTCACATCAGGCTGAAGACAGAAAGGACTCTGAACAACACTGAGCACAGAGTACAGCCCTGTTTATCTTGCAGAGTCAAAGGTCAGGAATCCCAAATTGAGCAGTAAGTAAATACTATAGACAATGGAAGCCAGATTCAGATGCAGGAGCACTCTAGTGACTGCCCAGCTCACTTCTCCCAGGCAGTGCTCAACAAACTATTCTCCCTTTCACCCTGCAAAAGCACAAAAGATAGTTACCAATCCAGAGGGAACAGGGACAGAGCAAGTAGCATGCAGTCACTAGGATTAAGATAGCTATGGGCTCCCTAATCACTGTAAGGATGGTAGAATTAGAGGATCGTTTGGAGCTGGAGAGATGGCTCAGTGGTTAAGAGCACTGGCTGATCTTCTAGAGGACCCAGGTTTGGTTCCCAGCACACACATTGTAGCATATACCCATCTGTAACTCCAGTTTCGGGGGATCCGATGCCTATGCCCTATTCTTGTCTCAGAGGGCAATAGGCACACACAAGGTTCAGAGACAACCACAGGAAACAAACATTCATACACATAAAATAAAATTTTTTTAAAAATTAAAGATTATTTGTTGGCTACTATAATACCACATGGACAAGCTCCTGATGAAGCAGAAAAGACCTTTGGGGGCCGAGTTTGGCTCTATAGATGAACCAAGGGCTACACAGCTCTAGTCCTGTCAGAGTCTGACTCACCTAGTCCTGGTCCAGTTCTGTCTTCCCAGCCCACAATCCACATCCATTACAGAGATAAAGTCTTGGCCTGCAAAAACCCGAAAGTCAGCAGAGATCTGGCAACAAGCTGCTTGCAGTTAAGAACTGGCAGGTGATCTGACCTACATGGGCCTGGGAGCCAGTTAGAGCTGGTCAGCTTGACCCTGTGGTGTGTAGAACAAGGGCCACACTACCCTATCACTGACTGTAAAGGTCTGAGTCACCATGTCCCTCTCAGATTATACAGTATAGTCCCAGGAGAACAGATAAAGACTAAGCTGTAACTACCCTTCCACTGGTTTATTAAGACTCTCTTGCTGATCAAGCAGTGGTGGTGCACACCTTTTCATCCCAGTACTGCAGAAGCAGGCAGAGTTTGAAGCCAGTCTGGTCTACAGAGCTCCAGGACAGCCAGGGCTACACAGAGAAATCCTGTCTCAAAAAACCAAAACAAACAAAAAGACTACCTTGCTGGCAGGACCTGGCTCATGAGCTTCTACTACAGGCTGTCAAAAATGTATACACAGAGCTGAGAGGAAAACAAGCCACACAGTGCTCTAGACCAGTAGCAAAGACATGAAGTCAAAGCTACAAGGACCAACAGTTATTGCCTGAGATTAGCAGGCAATGGTAATCTAGTGAAATTACCATTTTTTTTTTTTTTTTTGAGACAAGATCTTGAGTGGTAGCCCAGGCTGGCCCTGAATGTGTCAGCTCTCCTGTATCAGTCTCCAGAATGCTAGAATCACAGACATACAATACCATGCCTGGCTCAGGATACCATTCTTCACCCCATTCAACATTTAATTTTTCCATATTCTAGTTCCATGGATCCAAGGTTAAGAATGTCTGTTCTTGGGCTGAAGTGATAGCTCAGGGGGGAAAGGGACTTTCTGCCAATCCACCTCCACATATATGTCATGGCATGTGTGTACTCACATACAAATTAAAAAAAAAAACAAAAAACAAAGCCTGGGCCGGGCAGTGGTGGCACACGCCTTTAATCCCAGAGCTTGGGAGGCAGAGGCAGGCGGATCTCTGTGAGTTCGAGGCCAGCCTGGTCTACAAAGCGAGTTCCAGGAAAGGTGCAAAACTACACAGAGAAACCCTGTCTCGAAAAACAAAACAAAACAAAAGCCTGTCCTTAGTGGAAGATGTAGCTCATTGGTAGAAGGCTAGCCTAGCATGCTCAAAGCCCAGCACAAACTGGAGGGGCAAGGAAGAAGAGAATAGGGGTAGATGGAATGGAATGTCTGTTTTGAAATGGAGGACTGAGGATGTTCTCAAATACCTGGCCAGGACATCTGGATTGGTCAGTGGTGATTTAGAGAAAACATATAAAATCTGTATCATGTATGTCTGAGAGTTTATCTCAGGGAAACAACCTAGAAAAGGGCCTGCATAGACTAACATTCTGTCCACCCCATCTTGCTGCTAACACTGACACTGGAAACCTCAGACCACTCAGTAGTGAAAAATTTGTACTGAGTGAGGGACAGTCACTCCTGACTACAGCAACACACTGCAGCTTTTGAGGCTCTAAGGAAGTGTTTATCGCTTTTGAGGAATAGATATTTTCTGGACCATTTGTGTGGTATGCTCAGATTAAAGGCACAAATAATTGAGGGCATCCACATTACCAGCCACAAAACCTCCATGTGGCAGACAGGACCTTTATGTTGTTCTCATTTGTTTACACTGCAAAAAAGTCACTTTAAAAGCTTTCCTATCTCCTCACTTAATGCCCCCCCTTTTAAATTTAAAACTGTTTCATTCTCCTTTCAAATGTGCTTTGTACCCATAGATAGTGATAGTACAGTCCTGTAATTCCAGTACTGAAAGGCTGAGTCAGAAGGGTCACAAGTTCAAGTTCAGCCTGGGCTACCCCTTAAGAAAGACCCTGTCTCAAAAGAAACAACAACAAAATATTTCCAAGTTTATTTTTAGTAGATTACATTCATCCTTGGGGGGGGAGGTAAACAACAACAAAAACACTGAACAAGGAACCCACCTCTAAACCGTAGTGTTTTGCTTTTTGTTTTATTCTTTTGCACGCTTCAAGGATTCAAACCATCAACGTTACAACCACACTGTCTGTTTTATGCCGGGAAAGTACCAGTTGAGAAAAAATCCGCCAGCTCGCAAAGATGCAGTTGCAGCTTGGGACCTGGCCCCTTCCACAGCACAAAATAACAGGCTTCTGGGGCCAGCGTCAGTAGACGCCGACAGATGACAGGGTGCCTGCCCTTGCCATCCGGGCGGCGCCTCCTCCCTGACGCCTAATGCGGTCAACAGCCCGCCCGCGATGCCGCCGGTGCCCAGCCCAGTCTCCACCCTACCTGTGCGTCCAGCCCTGCGAAGTCCGCCGCCACCTGGGCGCCGGGTGCCCACGGCCTCCGACTTGACCTGGGCTGACTCAGTTCTGAGGGATGACACCGGAGTTTACTCAGTGCCTTCCGCCCGTGCCCACGGACGACACTGCCTGTTCCCGACGCCGCCGACTCGGGGCCGAGCAGCCTCACACTGACGAGAGTCGCCTCCGAGCCGAGGGCCCGGGCTACACACCCCCTGGCGGCCCGCTGGCAGGGCACACGGGCGTGGGAGGGAACCGGACGTGACGCACAGGAAGCTGCGGCGGACGACTCGCCACCACGGAAGCGGGTGCCTCAGGAATCCTGCGCGTTAGTGAGGACGAGCCGCTAGGCAGCGCCCCCTGCAGGCACACATTGGCACCTTCCAAACCGGAGCCGGCACCCGCGGTGATGTCCGGCCGCAAACCACGGGCGGAGGCGCGTGCGCGCGTGCGTGGCGGGGTGGGGCGGGGAGAGGAGGGCCGACTCCTAAATTACAGCACCACCTGGTGGCCTCCCGTTGGCACCTTCCGGGACATCCCACCACTCCAGGCCCGTAAGGCTGAACGGACGACGTCTCCCCCTTGTCACCTTTTGGTACATCCCAGAACGTTCCACCGAGACCAGGAGGGGAGGGGTCGGTTCGCTCAGACTGCAAACTGTAAGTCAAACCTGGATTTTGAAATGAAGGAGCCTAAAATCTGACTAGAAAGTCAAATGTAGCGAAGACCAAAGCGCTTACAGGCGAACACCCGGAACAACCCCTGCACCGTACTCTCTGGGTCTCGGATGACGCCGAGTCACGAGCTGTGGCGGGGAAGGTTCCTCCTTGAGGCTGCAGGATGCTCGCCTGGCGGTTGAGCGCCCCATGTGGCCACTCTGCCAGAGCCTGCAGGCCGTTTTATCACTGAAGGTTCTTTTGTGGGAAGGTTTGAGGCTGCCTCTACTTCTCATCAAACCTTCATTTATTTGCTTTTTTCTTGGTTTTTGGAAAGTCAGTAAGGTTTCTCCTTCAAATATCACCCAGAATAAGTTAAAATGGAGCTTCTTAAATCTTTTCCACTGGAAAACCCTTTCCATATTCAAATCAAACATTTACTAATAATCAACCTTAAATTACAATTCTTTGCTGGCAGGCAGAGGCCAGACTGCTCTATTTAGTGAGTTCCAGGGCTATGTAGGAAGAACTGTCTCAACAAACGAACAAAAACCAGTTCTCTTTTGGTATGCATGCAATTTTACCACTTTCTAAAGATGAAAGCAAACTGGCTTATGAATAAGAAGGTGTGCTTCTTTATTTTCACAGAAATAATTAAGTCTTGGCTGAATATTTGATACTGCAGGACATGAGTATATTCAGCATTTTTCAGAGTTGGTATTTTGATTTTGTAATCCTCAGTGATGAGAACACTGCTTCATTTAAATGGTATAGTACAAATTGGCATAAGTAAGCCCCTAATTAAATGCTTCCTTTGATAATGTTCCTTGGTCATGGTGTTTCTTCACAGCTATAGAATTAAGACACAGAGCAACAGGTATAATCTGATCTCTACAAGAAGGCTAAGGGCTAGGCATGGTGGTACACACCTTTAATCTCAGCACTTGTAAGCAGGGCCCCAAACCTTAATAGGAGCCAGACCTTAGCACAATGGACTCCATGATCTTAGCACATGGATAGCATCACCTATCAAAATGAAAATGAAGCCCTAATCCATCACAAACCTGAGCCATCAACTGAGGCTCTGTAATTAACATAACCTCTGTGTGTTTGACTGTGGCTGTGGGGCAGGAAAACTCCCATCTACATATGCTGCCCAGCACTTGGCTCATGGCCGTTGGCGGCCAGCTCCATCTCGCAGGCAGTTGTCTGGAGATGTGTCTCTGCACTGTGGCTGGCATGAGACAGGGAAGCCTAGTGTGGCTCCGTTTCTGTGCATTTAGAACCTTTTTTTAAGCTTTCTCAGGTCTTATGTGGAAATTCCTGCCCCACATTTGGTGCCATATGTAGGCAGAAGTTTTCCTGTCCCACAGCCAGTCTCAAATAAACACAGAGGCTTGTATTAATTACAAATGCTAGGCTGATAGCTCAGGCTTGTTACTAGCTAACTCTTACATATAAATTAACCCATGTATCTATCTATACTTTGTCACATGGCTCATGGCTTGTTACCTCGTTTTTTTTTATACATCCTGTTTGTTCAGCAGATGGCTGGCATCTCCCCTGACTCCGCCCTTCCTCATCTCATCATCCTCAGTTTGGCTTTCCCACCTAACTTTCTGACCAGCTACTAGCCTGTAAGCTTTTTAATTAACCAATGAGAGTAATGCATATTCATAGTATAAAGAAGGATTATTCCACAGCATTTCCCCCTTTTTGTCTAATTAAAGAGGAAGGTTTTAACTTTATCATAGTAAGATTATATACAACAGAAAGTTATTAAGAATTACAGTTACAATCTCCAGTCTATTTGTATTTGACAAAATTAAAGAAAACACTCAATTATCTATCCTATCTTGGTGAGTCTAAAGTTTTGTCCCTAATTTACTTTTTATTATAACTAAGGAAAACTAGTCTTCAACTCCATTAAAGACTCAAGAAAGACGAAATGTTATCTAATGACAGGGACATCAGGCTGTCTGGAAAGTCACCCAAAGTTCCTCTGTAACACTGGGGCATCCAACTTTGGCCTACAGGCCAAGAATATCTGACAGACTTTCCTGTGAAGCAGGGAATTTTGAAGGACTGTCCTACCTTGTCTTGGCAAAGTTCTGCAGTCACCCTTTTTGCTTCCTACTGGTCCAGTTTGGACAGTAACTGTCAGCAATTGAGGCAAGGGTAGTTTCTTTGCCTACATGGCTAGCTTTTGCCATAAAGAAAACATACTCCATATGGAGTTTCTTCAATGCCCATCATCTTTTCTGAAGTAGATTGGTGCTGCCAGCAACAGATATGTCTCACTGTCATAAAAACCCTAACCAAAAATGTGGTAGAGTTGTAGCTGGTGAGCTGGCTCGGTGGGTAGACACTGCCAAGCCTGACAACCTGAGTTTGATCCCTGGAACTGACAAGACAGGAAGAAAAAGTTGACCCCTAATTTACACACACACCAACACAAACACACACACACACACAAAGTAATAAATAAATAAATAGGGGCTGAAGAGATGGCTTAGGCACCTGAAGAAACATGTACACATAATCAAAAATAATAAAATTGTATCTTAAAAAATTGAAGTGAAATGATTCTTTACTGCTACAGAAACCCCTGAACATTTAGAGGGCAACTCTATGTCGCCCAAACTTAGCTTGCAGAAGATGTCAGAGATTTTGAAATCTGCCAAGGCCTGCATCCGCCAGATACAGATTCTTAACTTACAAAGAAAAAAAAGTCTGTTTTAAACCTCTTAGATAATTTGACTATGGAGATCTTAATGTTTTCATTTCTTTAGCTATTTTTTTTTTAAGCTGGGCTTGGTGACCCAGGACTGTATTCCCAGCTACTTGGGTGGCTGAGGCAAGAGGATCACAAGTTTAAGGCTTGCCTGAACCACACAGTGAATTCAAGGCCAATCTGGGAAACTTAGTGACACCCTATTTCAAAAAGTAGAAACAAGACTGGGAATGTAGCTCATGGTAGAGTGCTTATTTATATGTGTACCTGTTTTAAGAGAGATCTCATGTAGCACAGGCTAGCCTCAATCTTCTTTTTTTTTTTTTTTTTTAAGACAGGGTTTCTCTGTGTAACAGTCCTGACTGTCCTGGAACTCACTTTGTAGACCAGGGTGGCCTTGAACTCACTGAGATCCACCTGCCTCTGCCTCTGGGGTGCTGAGACTAAAGGTGTGCACTGCCACCAGCCAGCTCTCAATCTTCTTATGTAGCTAAGGATGACCCTGAATTACTGATTTTCCTCCCCAAACCTCTTAAATGCTAGGATTACAGGTTTGGGGCACCATTCCTGGTTTACACAGTTCTGGGGATAGAACCCAGGTCTTCTTGAATGTTAGGTAAACACTCTTCTCCAAGCCAGCTCGGGTATTGACTTAATTGTTTTCCCCCAATCACCGGTTATTATCTATCATTTTGGGTTGACCTCTGGTATCTTGCTGCTTTCCCTCTACACAGAGGTGACAGGATTTCTCTTGGAGGCAGACAGTAGGGAAGGAATGAGGCTATGCCTCAGGTAATGTTCTAGGAGGCCAGGCTGCTGACCTTCAAAGCATTAGGAAGCAGGCAGTTCCCAAGGGGTAAGACTTCTGACCTGAACAGGAGGGTGGGTGATAGGACCCGCTTGGGTCTGTCCTCATTTGGGCTCAGTACTGAGCATAGGCCAATACCCAGTGTTCCTCACCACCCTTTTATTGTGATCAAGTTATGTCAGAAAATCAGACAGACATAGTTGTGTCCTTCTACAACATCAGAATTTGAGAAGCAGTTAATCCAAAAGTTGTGTCAGTTTTGTTGGCTTTTCCAGCTAATAAAGATTTAATCTGTTAGATGTCTCCCATTGGCAACCATGAGTTTCTTTTTTAGTTGTTTTGGAAAGTGGTTCTTTTTTTTTTTTTTTTTTTTTTTGGTTTTTTCGAGACAGGGTTTCTCTGTGTAGCTTTGCGCCTTTCCTGGATCTCGCGCTGTAGACCAGGCTGGCCTCGAACTCACAGAGATCCGCCTGGCTCTGCCTCCCGAGTGCTGGGATTAAAGGCGTGCGCCACCACCGCCCGGCGGAAAGTGGTTCTTATATAGCCCAGAACTTGTCCTGAACTTGCTATATAGCTGAAGATGACTTTGAACTGATGACCCTCCTGTCTCCAACCTCCCAAGTTCTATGATTACAGGTGTGTGCCACCACATCCAAGCCATTATTCCAATCTTAATTACTAATATTAATACTTAGATTACATATTACTTTTTTGTTTTGGGTTTTGTTTTTTCTTTTATAAATTAATTAATTAATTGATTTTTTTTTTTTTTTTTTTTTTTGGTTTTTCAAGACAGGTTTTCTCTGTGTAACAGTCCTGGCTTCCCTGGAACTCTCTCTGTAGACCAGGCTGGCCTCGAACTCACAGAGATCCATCTGCCTCTGCCTGCCCAGTGCTGGGATCAAAGGCGTGTGCCACCACCATCAGCTGGGTTTTGTTTTTTCAAGACAGGATGTGTAGATATGGCTGTCCTGGAACTCACTCTGTAGACCAGGCAGACTGACCTCGAACTCACAGAGATCTGCCTGCCTGTGCCTCCCAAGTGCTGGGATTAAAGTTATGCATGGGGTTAAACACTGGGTGCTGCTTGGACACCATGCCTAGGCCTCCAGGAATGTCTAAAGGGCTGATGTGATCCCTCTCTCAATTCTTTCCTCTCTCATACCTTTGCTTCTCAAAACAAAGAAGGTCAAGGCTCCAAGGTCAACAGTCATTGCCAGGAGTGTGGATGGCCCTGGGGGCAGGTTTCTAACACTCCTAATGAGCCACCTCTCTGGCTCAGTCTTTGGGCAGTGCTGGGTCTGACTCCCAGCCTCCAAGTGTCCTTTAGGCCATGGAAGGGATGCAGGCTCTGGACAAGGAGACTGAGTTATGGGTCCTGGGTAATGTGGGGACCCATTATGTGTATGTGCTCATGTCACATACAATGAGCAGTTTGAGGAACGCTGGCACCCTGCTAGG